TGCGCTTCCAAGTGCTTCCCTCACAATTTCACTCACGCTATCCTGTCCTTCCCCGGGTTTCCCGCCTGTCCGATGATCTGACAGAGCTTCAGTCCCGGACTGTGCCGGTGCACTGTGGCTGTCTCCTCCGTCAAACTTGCTGAGTGAGTGGCTCGTCAGGTTGCAGTAACTGCAACCCCAGCGTCTGCAGCTCCAGGTGAGCACTCAGCCCCCTAAACACGAGGCCCTCGGCTCGCACAGAAACTGGCCCTCCTGCAAGGCCGTCACCACAGCAGACCCGACTGGACCAACAACTCCTACAGGGTTCCTCCAGCCAGAATGCTTCAGAGCCAAAGCCACATGCTCCCTCTTGCGCGCCGCTGATTCGCCACGGCACCAGGACCACGCGCCCAATTCAGTGTCAGCCGAGGGCAGCCGTGAGTTCGAGCCGCAGAGCTCACGAGAAATTTGCACGGATGTTTAGAATTTCTGGGGCTGATACCTACGTGTGGCTAGGGACGAATTAGCGGCGCGCCCGACGCGCTGGTGACCGCAGCATCTGCGCCTGCGCAAGAGGAGGAAGAGGAGTGGCCTAAGAGCTTAGAGTGAGCAAGGCCTGAGGGCGGGACTCGGGTAGGCGTGTCCGCTCTTTCGGTCCCTTAGTGGCTGCTGTCTCTGTTTTCCTTAATTCTGAAGAGACTTTCCCCAGCGCACTGCCCCACTATGCTGCGTTGGGTCTGATGACTTTCCACTCTAGAGCACTAGGCAACTCGCTAGACTTCCTGAGGGAAACAGAGTAAGGAAGCCAGGAACAGCGGATATAGACAAGTTGTAACGCTGATGTTCGTGGTGGTACACAAGGCTGCATCGTTTAATGAAAACGCGCAAACCGCGTGTAAACTACCCTAAATGAAACATCACTGGCTATGTAACCTCCCCGGGGCCCTGGCTGTCATCTGAACTTAGCAGTATGAAACATTCCATCATGGAAGAACTTTTCTTGGCCATCCTGATCTAGAAAATACACGGAGGGAGCAACATTTCAGCGGAACTGGGTATGGGTGGAAATCTGGACAACTTGTATTCATTCAACATCTTCAAGCAAAATTATCCTTCCTGAGCAGGAAGGCTCAGCAGTTAACAGAGCATACCGGGGGCTGGGGCGGTATCTCAGAGGTTAAAAATACGCGTAGCTCCCAAGTTCAGTTCCCAGCATCTATAGAAGTGGCAGCTGGCCAGAATCTCTACACACATAAAAACTGGGCTTAGTCAAAGAGAAGGTCTTCAAGTGGTAGCTTTCATTTTTTCTCCATGTTTGTCCTCAGTGAGAGATGACAGGTGGCTCCAGCCCTTTCCTGTGGCTGATGCAGCTTCCATCAGGTAGATCTAGGCTATTGTAGGGACTCAGCCCTCGACAGCTTTACAATTTGTGTGTAGCTTAGCCTGCCAACCGCTCAGCTGTCACTGCCACTGTCTCTCTGGCGCCTCTTTCTTCATGATAACAGCTTAACCCACATTACTGACAGTAGGCAAGCAAAGCCTGGAGAGGAGCCTTTTACTGAACCTAAATCTGCAACAAAAGGGAGGCGACTCAGGATAGTCTGTCACAAAGGGAATCTAAGCAGCTGCTTTCAAATCCTGAAAAAGGCCACTTCCTCTAATCTCAGCTTTGCACCAGCCTCTGCAATTCCAAGCTAAGCCACCAGGGGACGTGTTCTTCTCAACCTGGTAGAAATGGTTGTCAAAAGCCTTGGTGCTGTGCCTTCCAGACCTGAAGCAGTTCTGCAACCTTGTGGTTTTCTCAGGGCCCTAACAGCTAGGATAGTCAGTGCTGACATTAGGGCAGGCCAGGGGCTGTTGACTGGCAACTCTTTTGCTCAAAGCATCCAGGACAAGAAAGGGAAATCTAGCAGCTTCTAATTAAGGGCTCATGTCACCTCGGCACCCAATATTTTTGCTTATTTTCTGGAAATGAATACCAGAGTGCTTACAATAAGAAATGTTAACAGTGCTTAGCACCTGGCCAGCATCCCAGGCAGAGATGGGTGCCCTTATTGGTTTTAGAACAAAGGGGTGTCAGGAGAATCCAATCTTCACTTAAAAGTAAAGGTGCTTTTTGCTGCCAAGCTTGATATCCTGAGTTCAATCTTCAGGACTCGCAGAGTGGAAAGAGAGAACTGACTCTTCAAAGTTGCCCTCTTACCTTCACAAGCACAGGCAGTCAGGAGCTCACATGCGATCAGGCACTAGCATGGTCACACACAAAGATACACACAAATAAATGAATATAATGTTAATTTTTCTTTAAAAAGGCTCGCTCTGGGAACTGGGAGATGGCTTGATGTACAAATATGAGGATCTGAGTTCAAATCCTTAGCACCCAGTATAAAGGCCAAGTGAAGAGGCATATATCTGGTTGCCAAGGAGATGTAAACAAAGTGTACCCCCTCCTTCTATGGTCCTGATGATAAACCGAGGTACGTTTCCACCAAAATTCACTCTGGGGAATCAGTGAGTTTATTAGGCTTACTGACAGAGCAGTGGGTGAGGAGTTATAGGCAGTAACAGAGGTGACCTTAAAGCAGTTACACTGGAAGGTCTGTCCCCAGCAGACCCCCATGACTGTGTGGTAGAACCCTTCCCCTAACCTTTCTGTACCCCTATATTCTGTCCTTTCTCTGAGTTTCCCATGGCTACATGCAACTAGGGCAGACTTGCATACAACTGGTTGGGGGGACGATTCTCAAGTGAGGATCCCCTGGCCCTCTCTGCCCCTCCTCTATGACGTAACACCAAGCCCAGGCATGATGGTCATTTGCAAGTAGGCCCAGGTTGATGGTGACAGATGGCTTGGAGGATAGTCCTGTACAACAATCTGTGACCCCAGCATCAGGGCAGGGGTGTAAGAAAATAGGTATGCAGAGGGAGAGCTTGCCTGCCAGCCAGTCTTGCCAATCAGTGAGCTCAAGGATTAGTGAGGCTCTGTTTCAAAGTAAAATGAGGTGGAGAGCCTGAGGAAGGCATGTGACTTAAATGTTTGGTGTCTACACATGAACCTGTGAGTAAAAACATATACAGAATAAATACATAAATAAATAATGAAGATCGACACTGGGGTCAGTCCAGAGAACACATGGTTAGGAACCACCACAAATACAGTTGTCAGGACACACGTGGGATGCTGTAAAAGTGTGAGGGGCTGGAGGCTGGTATCTCCGGATAGAGCCAAGACTTGAGAGTGGGGGTGGGGCAACCCCAGTATGAGACCTTCCTGAACTCCATCCCTAAACTACAACTCCATTATTTCTTGACCCCCTCCATGTTCCTGAAGCTCACCATCCAGGAACTTCCCAGTCAAGGCTGGATTGGGGGATATGTTTATGTTTCTCGAGCCTCAAGTACCTACAAATGTCTTTATTTCTGCTCCTGCTCAATTCCCATGAACTAGATTACTATTTTATCTGTCTGTCATTGTTTTTTTGTTTTTATTTTTGTGATGCCATGGGTCAAATCCTGGCCCAGCATAAATGTTAAGAAAATCAGCTGTCACCTTGGAGTTGTCTCAGTCCCCTGCACAAACAGTATTTCTCCCTGGATACTTTTGTGATTTTTCTCTACCTGTGGTGTTCTGACGTTCAACTAAAGGAGCCTTAATGGCAGCGGCCAGCCTCTGGGGTGACATTCAATGGCCTGTCCTCTGGAAAGACACTCTGGCTCCTGTCATCTTGGAAATGCTGGTGCTTTTGTTGGAGACATCTTCCTGAGTTATTCTTATTACAACAAACTAGGATTCTTTTCTTTTCTTTTTTTTTTTTCTTTTCAGAGTTGAGGACCAAACCCAGGGCCTTGTGCTTGCTAAGCAAGCGCTCTACCACTGAGCTAAATCCCCAACCCCAACTAAGATTCTTTAAACAACAGAACATTATTTTCTCGCAGCTCTGGGGGTTAGAGTCTGAACCCAAGGCAGCATGCCCCACAGAAGTCTCTTCTGGTTTCCGGGGCCTCCAGGTGTGGCTGCCACAGCAGCTACATTCCCGTCTCAGCCACCATCTTTACCTCTTCCTTGGTGTCCTCTCTGCCTCTATCAGGACGCTTGCTGTTGAGTGCAGGGCTATCTAGGTACTCCAGGGTAACCACATCTTAAGATATGCATAGACATTTTTCCCCATAAGGCTATATTCACAAGTCCTGGGGTCAGAACTTGGATCAGTTTCCTCAGGAACCCTCATTCATCCCCCTGCACAGCCTGTAACTGAAAGCCAGGCAGGAAAAGTTGGGTATGTCTAGCTTGATTTCAACATTACATAGTACACTTATCAAAAATACCACATTGATTGAAAATATAATTAATGTGCAATTTGTGGGATGTGTGTGTGTATGTATGTATGTATGTATGTATGTATGTATGTGAGAGAGAGAGAGAGAGAGAGAGAGAGAGAGAGAGAGAGAGAGAGAGATCACACACCTATAGTCCTAGCTGAGGGCTAAGATGGATCACTTAACCCAGGAGTTCAAAACCAGCATGAGTAACACAGCAAGATCCTTTTTCAGGGAAGAAAAATATAGCTAATTTAAATTTGAGTTATCTCATTCTCAAAAAAATAATAAGTTAAACTGAAACTCAGTCTCATTACTAAAAGGGATTCCTTCTCCAAGGGAGTGAGACAGGACTCACAGGACATGGCTGCATATGGCTGGAATCCTGGGTACCAGTGCAGAGCTGGCTTGGACAGTTTCCTGACCACACTCAACCCTGTCCTGCTCTGACTTCTTGGTGGGAACTCCAGTCTAGGTGCTGCTGTTAGAGCCATTAACAGCTCCTGTGTGCCTCTGAGCCCAGCAAAGCCTTGAGCACATCCACTAGAACTATTTCCCAAAGAAACTGTTTGTGTCTGTTTGAAGTTTGTTTCCCTGGGAACCTTGGGTTCTCAGAGCCCATTGGCTTGAAAGCAGATGCCTTTTTTTAAGGTGGCAGGAAGAACCTGACACTCTGCCAGGACAGAAAGAAGATAACCAGTCACATGGTGGGCTTCGAGGAGCAAGGATAGAGACAGACTCAAGGGACCAGAGGACAGACATCAGCTCTCACCTCTGTGTCCCAGCATGGGGTGCTTGAAGAAGACCCTGCCTTTTCTCCTCATTTTTGTGTCCATGTCTGTACACGGGACTCCGTCACAGGAAGCTGACCCAGCTAGACAAAGAAAGCCATTTTTCGAGAGGCTCCGTCGACTAGAAGAGCAGGTAGGTGTACCACACTTGGGGAATTGGTTTTATAAAACCAGGAGCAGGTGAAGAATGGATGTCGCAGAGTCAGCGGCTCTTCGTGATCAGTGGGCATGAGAACACTTGGTTTGCTATCCTTGCTGAAGCTGACGATATTCTCACCTGGTTTTAGAAATCAGGCATTTGCTAAGCTCTACTCTGAAGTCTAACTAGACAGTGTGTGTGTGTGTGTGTGTGTGTGTGTGTGTGTGTGTGTGTGTGTGTGTG